GACGGTCGTCCTTGCCGCCGTTGTCGGTGGAGGCAGAGAACGATGGGGAAGACGGGGGGAGGAGGAGGAGGGAGGAGGAGGAGGAGGCAGAGGATGCGGGAGGAAGAGGAGCAGGAGGAGGAGGGCGAGGGGATTGGGGAGGAACACGGGGAGGAGAAGGAGGAGGAGGAGGAGAAGGACGAGGAGGAAGAGGACCACTGTAAACCCAAGACTCATCAACGATGTTGCAATCGACATCCCTACAAGTTTCCTTTCCATAGGCCCCGTACAAGAGTTCATTTTCACTGAAGCAAGTGCACCGTTGGAAAACAAAGCAGCCGTTTGAAAATCAGGACTTGTGCCAAAATGCCATTTCAAGGGTTTACGCGCCGCGAATCACCATTACTGTTGCGTCTTGACGATCCAGAATCGTACCAGCACACCACTGCTGGGACTTCAACTCCACGAATCATCGTAACCACTGTGCCACGACAGTCCGTCATCGTGCCAAAACACCGTTCCTGGGACGTTAGCAATGAGAATCCTTGAGACGTCTGTGAACTCTTTAAACGAATGTGCGCGGCACTGAGGCGCGAGCCACAGTTTGAAAAAAAAGCCATCCATCCGTGAAATTGTTGCAATGTGTTACAACGACTGTGCGCGGCGCTACGGCGAGAGCCACATTTTGAGAACGGCCCGTTTTTCGTCCGTTGAACTTTTCTGCAACTTTCGAAACGAGTACGCGTGGGCGCTAGGGCGAGAACTACATTTTGAAAACGACCTGTCCTCAATCCGTGAAGCTGTCGCAAGGTTTGAAGACGGATGTGCGCGGCCTCAGGCGGAAGCCACATTTTGAAAACGACCCGCCCTCAGACCGTGAAACTCTTGCAAGTTGTTACGACGGATGCGCGCGGCGCCTAGGCGAAAGCCACATGTTGAAAACGACCCGCCATCCATGAGTGAAAGGGCTGCGAAATTGAGTTTCAGAATCATAAGCAGTGAGCTAGTCTCCAGCGAATAGCCCGGCCCGCCCTTCCGACGGGCCTCGGGGTGTGACAGGAAGGAGTTATTCACACGGATAAGGAATGGAGGAGGAGGAGGAGGAGGAGGAGGAGGAAGAGGAGGAGGAGAAAAGGATGGAAAAGCCCGCGGACGGGGGGGTGCACAGCACTGAATGCGCGCGCCGCCGCGGCCGGGCGCCCGCGGGGGCGGCCGGGCCGCGGGGCGCTCACGGCGCGGGGGCGGCGCACGGCGCCGGCGGGCCCCCCGCAAGCGGGCAGCATGGGGATGGCTGGCCAGCTCCCCCCCCGCGTTCTGTCGGCCGGAAACCAGCCCAGCCGGAAACACCCGGCAGCCGACAGAACGGGGAGGGCCGGGGAGGGGCCAAGCCACCACCAAACCCACACCACCCACCCCATGCCCGCCACGACACGACCGACGACGACAGCGACGGCCACGACACGACAGGGAAGAAGGACCCCCCAGCCACGACTCCCACGGGGGACACCTGGCTGGGTAGCCAGGCTCCCGTGGGAGGCTGCGTGGCCGGGGGCCCCCCGGGAAGGGGACCCCGCTTTGGGGGCCGTCCCGGGCGCGGGGGCTTTTCCCCCGAAGGCCCGGCGGTCCCCGCCTCCGCCAGGGGGCGCTTTGACCCGACACCCCGCTTATGGGGGTGCCCCTCCGGGGCAGGAGGAGAAAAGGAAACAGAGGGAGGAGGAGAGGGAGGAGGAGGGGGAAGAGGAGAGAACGGGGTACTGTGAAGTACCTCGGTAGCGAGGGCGCGCGCGCGTGGCTTCCACACTGACTTCGCGCGTGGCTACTACTATTACTACTACCACTACTACCACTACTACTACTACTACTACTACTACTACTACTACTACTACTACTACTACTACTACTACTACTACTACTACTACTACTACTACCTAGACTACTACTACTACTGCTACGACTTCTGCTGCTACTACAACTACTACTACTACTACTACTACTACTCTTCGTACTAAAAGTACAATTACTTCCACTACGACTACTACTACTATTATTACTACTACTACTGCTACTACCAGTAGTAGTACTACTACTACTATTACTACGACTGCGACTACGACTCTGACTACGACTGCGACTGCGACTACGTGTGCGACTACGACTACGACTACGACTACTACTACGAGTACAACTACGATTACGAGTACGACTACGACTACGACTACGACTATCCCTACTACCACTACGACCACGAGTATGACTATTACTACTACTACTACTACTACTACTACTACTACGACGACTATTACTAGTACTACCACCACCACTACTACTACTACTACTACTACTACTACTACTACTACTACTACTCGTACTAGTACTAGTACTAGTACTAGTATTTGTACTAGCACGACTACTACCACCACAACTACGACTACGACTACGACTACGACTACGACTACTACTACCTTTACTACTACTACTACTACTTCTACTACTACTGCTACTACTATCCCGACTACTACTACTACTACTACTAATATCCCGACAACTATTGCATTCTAGGTCTGTCACTACTACGACTATTGTTAGTACTACTACTTCTGATACTACTGCTACTATTGCTACTGCTGCTTCTAGTGCTACTACTACGATTGCTACTGCGACTACGACTACTACTATTACTACTACCTTTACTACTACTACTACTACTCCTACTACTACTACTACTACTACTACTACTACTACCACTAGTACTAGTGCTACTACTACTACTACTACTACTACTACTACTACTCCTACTACTACTACTACTACTACTACTACTACTACTACTACTACTACTACTACTACTACTACTACTACTACTACTAGTACTACTACTACTACCACTGCCAGTACCGCTACTACGACTACTACTACGACTACTACGACTACTACGACGACTACTAGTACTACTACTACTACTACTACTACTACTACTACTACTACTACTACTACTACTACTACTACGACTACGACTACTACTACTACTACTACTACTACTACTACTACTACTACTACTACTACTACTACTGCTACTACTACTACCCCTACTACCACTACTTCTCTTCCTCCGCCTCTTCCTCCTCCTCTTCCTTTTCTCCTCCTCTTCCTCCCCCTCCTCCTCCTCCTACTGCTGCTAATATGATTACGACGACGACTACTGTTACGACTACCACCACTATTACTCCTACTACCACTACGACCACTACTACTTCTACTACTACTACTACTACTACTACTACTACTACGACTACTATTACTACTACTAGGACTACTACTACTACTACTACCACCACCACCACTACTACTACCACTACTACTACTACTGCTACGACGAAAACGACGACTACTACTATTATTGTTGCCACTACTACTACCACTACTACTACTATTATTATTATTACTACTACTACTACTACTACTACGACGACTACCACTACCACTACTACTACTACTACTACTACTACTACTACTACTGCTACTGCTTCTACTTCTACTTTGGCTTCTACTTCTACTTCTACGACGAACACTGATACTACATTTACAACTTCAATTTCAACTACTACTACTACCACCACTACGACTACTACTTTTACTACTATTACTACTACTACTACTACTACTACTACTTTTACTACTACTACTACTACTACTACTACTACTACTACTACTACTACTACTACTAGTACTACCACTATCACTACTATTACTACTACTACTACTACTACTACTACTACTACTACTACTACTACTACTACTACTACTAATACTACTACTACTACTACTACTACTACTACTACTACTACTACTGCTACTACTGCTACTAGTACCACTACCACACGTACTACGACTACTACGGCGACTACTATTCCTATTAGGGTCACACGTCACCTCGGTGTCTGCTGAGAATGAATGGTCAAGGGTCAGGGTTCGGATTCGGGCTCGGGTTCTGATTAGAATCTAATTCGAGTACAAGTTGAATTTCATTCGAATACAAGTAGAATTCAATGTGAATAAACGTAGACCACAATCAGAATTCAATTCGAATACAATTCAAATACAGCTAGAGTGGAGCCGTAATACATTTAGAATACAAGTATACTTCAAGTATAATTCATTAAGTGTGCACTTATACTGCAACTCGACAATGGTACATTACTTATAATGCAATGAGAACACACTTGTAGTTAAATTAGAGTAGCATTTGTATGCAACCTGAATATAATTCATTCAGAATGCAAGTATAATGCAGCCAGGGTGTACTGATAATCAAATTAGAATACAAGCAGAATGCACTTATAATTCAAGTAGACGGCATTCAGACACGAAGGTGACGCGTGGACTTGAAATTGCTGCTTGCTTTCGTGATAGGGCCGCTCTACATGTAATACCGAATAATAGTACACGGAGGTGACGTGTGGAACACAAAAAAGAAACAATCCAGAGACGCCGTACAACATGGGGCCCACACAAGAGGAAACCATCAGAGAACTGTACAATAGGAGATGTTACAGAAACCGTGCAGCACAAGACAGCGAGGGAACCCATACAACATGACCCACAGAGAAAATCCAGACCCCTGGGAAGAACAAGGAGCATCTAAAGAGCTTCTGAGGATGCCTCCAAGGAACCCCAATGAAACAAACCTCCAAGAAGCCGACGTAAGAAACCTCCAATAAGCTTCCGAGGGGCCGATAAGGAAGCCTTTAAGGAAGCCTCTCGGGAGCTTCTGAGGAAGCCTCTTAGGAGCCTCCACGGAGCCTGCAGGGAACCCTAAGGAAGCCTCTAAGGAAGCTTATGACACTTCGGACGGAACATCCATGGACGCCTCCCAGAAGCTTCTAAGGATGCTTTTAAGGAGCTTCTAAGGAAGCTTTCAAGCCAAAGAGCTTCTAAGGAAGCCCCAAGGAACGTCCAAGGAACATCCGATGAGCTGACCCTGGCCAGGGCCACCCTGGGACTCGACAGTTTCCCATCGAATT